CAAAACCGACACGAGGGGATACACCAGATGCTTTGTACTGATAACCTAACGCAGAACATAAATTCTGTCAGTGCTCTGAACGTTGCCACTGTCCTGTCAGTAGGGAAGAAGAACCAGGCTCCCCTTAAAATCGTGCTTGCTGTCGGGCCGAGCGCGGGGAGGGCGCGTGCCACGCAGCTGAAGCAGCTCGCCCACGGCAGTGGCGCGATGTGCCGCCTCTGCGCCGAGACGCGTCAGTTAGCTGACGTGTGCCGTCCCCCCTTCCTCTCGGTGAAGTCAGGGCCTCGCGTGTCCGCCCGGGGGATCCCCGCTGAGCCCAGTGGAAGGCTCTGCAGATTGCTGGTGAGAAGACAGCGACCCATCGCCCGTGGAACGGGTTGTGTGTTGTGAACGCTGGGGCTCCGCTAGCGAAAACAGAACATGTGTGGTGCTTAGTTCAGTTCAGGTGATGAAAAATAGGTTTTGAATACTAATCCTTTTTTTTTTTTTTCCCTCCATTTTAAAAGGCCGGGTACCGTGGCTCTCCGTGAAATCAGGCGCTATCAAAAGTCTACCGAACTTCTGATCCGCAAACTTCCCTTCCAGCGTCTGGTGCGTGAAATTGCTCAGGACTTCAAAACAGATCTGCGCTTCCAGAGCGCTGCCATCGGTGCTTTGCAGGTGAGCGTTACCGAGGCTGTCTGGGGGGTGGTCCTGGGCAAAGGCTGCCCGTCAGTGGGCAGGGCTCAGTGCTGTAAGTGCTGTCACAGCGAGACACCCCCCCATAGGCTAAAATAATGAAGTGACAGGTCAGCAGCTCTTTACGAAGCCTATAGATGTGGTTTTGGGGGGTGGGTTGCCTTTTTTTTTTTTTCCAGTAGCCCCCACCCCTCTAGTAGTTCCACTTGACAGAACAGTGTGTCTTATTAAGACACTTGATAAATCTTTTTCCTCTATCCCCGAGCTTTGTTACAGGCTTTGCCTTTGGAAACTGCACAGTCTGAGAGAAAGGCGTTGTGTAAAGCTTGTTCTAGTGTGCCCAAATGGAGGTCTTGATATCCTCAAATGCTCTTTAAAGAAAAACAGCTTGATAAGCCACATCTAAACGCAGCTAGGGAAATAAGTGCTTTTGCACGATGTAGTTGATGCTAAACACGTTTTTTTTTAATGTATTAGTTAAATAACTTACTTAGAATATATTGAGGATTAAATACCAATTGTTCTTTCTGTATCAAATCCCTGCATCTGAGTTAGGTCCCCTCTAAGACTGTTCTTATCATGGGAACACTTCCCTCTCGTGATAGAAAGACACTCCCTGATTAAAACCAGGTCTTTACTGTTCTTTTAGCTGTTGAAAGATTGTTGCAGAACCTACCCATAATCATGGAATATCTGATATGCAGGCAAAACGGTCTTTTTCTAGTTAATGACTTCCACTTGGTAAGAGCCAAGGCGTCCACCATGAGATCCTATAAACTTCAGCACGTGCTTAGCTTCAGAAGGTGGCTGCGTGCACTTGCAGAGTCGCTGCTCTTGTTTTCGGTGGTTTCTGTCTTCACTGCTATGAGCGAACGTGGTGGCTCTTAAATCCTGAGGTTTAGCTACGTGTCGTCTTGTCAGGAACTGATTATTAAAATGTAGTCAGTAGTTAAAATATGTTTTCAGAAGGTTGGCTTTGAATGTTCTGGTTTTGCATTAAGAAGATGGCATAGAACTTGTTCACATACTATTTCCAGTGCTTCCTGCTTGGAAAAAAACCTGAACCACTCCCCCAAAAGACTTTTAACCCCTTTAGTGCTGTGTTGTTCATGCCAACACGGCTTACCTGGGGAAGTGTCTTTTCATGAAGTGATTTAGCAAAACTGTGTTAGGAGAACTTAGGGTACCAATATCCTACGGCATATGACATGATTTAATACTACTGTCGTCCTCGGCTGCTGTAGTAAGTACTTTCTTACTTCATTATGGATACTCTCAGTTTTTAAATAGGAACTTTGAACCTAGTAAGTTGATTTTTGCAGTTCCTGGTAATGAAATGGTTGACACAAGCTGTTCTCTTGTATGAATTTTAGAAAGGGGGACCTCAGCCTCCTTTCTATAAGCAAGCCCCATCATTCCTGCCTTCTCACTCCAACCATGTGCTGTGTCCTGATCCGCATCCTGGTCTGATCGTCAGCATTCCGAGATGCTTCCTAGAAGATTGCTAGGGATTAGAATACTATATTAACCCAAAAACGTGCAGAGTTACCATTGCAGGTCTGGGCTTAATAGCAGCTAGCTTAATGCGAGCCAAAAGCATAATTGGGTCCAACAGAGCATCTGTCTAACCCAGAATCCTATTGACAGTGGTTCCATGACAGAGACAAAGCTGCGGTCAGGGTTGTGGTTTTCCCAGGACAAGGTCTTGTCCTTTGCTCTCGCAAATGCTGGCCTCGTGATTCTCACAAGTGTGAGGTGAGGACCCGTATTGAGGGGGTGGGCTGTGGTTTGTGCCCCAAATAGACAGGGGTGCTTAGGCAGGAAGAAAGTGTAGGAATAGAACAAGTCTCTGGTAATTCTCAGACTGCTGTCCAATTTTTGGTGATTCAGAGGAGTTCCTGAGTCAAAGGTGGTGGTGTCTTACATCTAATAATCCTCAGTACATTTTTTTTCCTGCTAGTTCTTGACTTTTGAATTAGGCCACCTCTTCAGTAGCCTGTGGCAAGGAGCTGTGTGCCTGAACTACGTGTTGTGAAGGAATACCTGCTCTGCTCTTGCCTAGAACCTGCCAATCCCACCTGATGCTCAACAGCTCTCGGGAAGAGGCAGCAAAGTCACTCAAATAGTGTAACTCAGCCTTTAAAAAGAGAATTTCCTAAGCAAACTAACTTTTTGGTAAGGTAGCCCCTTCTCTTGCGAGGGTCTTGTCAGAATTTTGGTTGTGTTCTGGAGGATGTCTACACCAAATGGCAGTAGTATGCAACTTTGACACGTTACTTGGTGGTTTATAAGAAAATGGAGGGGTTTAGTTTTTGAGAATCTAAAACTCTGGATGTCTGCGAGCGTTGAAGAGCTTAAACTTGATGCCATGTTACGCTGTACTTTGTTACTACTCGTTTGTCCTAGTGCTCAGAGAGTGACTGTGTTCTTAACTCTTTTCTTCTACACTAGGAGGCAAGTGAAGCCTACTTGGTTGGCCTGTTTGAAGATACCAACCTGTGCGCTATCCATGCCAAACGCGTCACAATCATGCCAAAAGATATCCAGCTAGCACGCCGCATACGTGGAGAGCGTGCCTAAGCTTCACTCTGATGGGTTTGTCATTCTCGAAGCAAAATCTTCTTCCTGTTATTGGTAGTAATGAACGTTAGATATTTTTTCCATGGGGTTAAAAGGTACCTAAGTATATGGTTGCAAATGGAAAAATAGGGGACAGAATTGGGTATTGGCAAGTTTTTTTTCCATTTTCATTTGTGTGTGGATTTTTAATATAAACGAGGGGACGTAAAACATCAATGCGGTCAGAAAAAAAAATGTTTCGGTGAACAAGTTTCAACAATTCAACTTTATAACAACAAATTATAAATAAACCTGTCAAATTTTTCTGGACAATGCCAGCATTTGGATTTTTTTAAACAAGTAAATTTCTTATCAATGGCAACTAAATGGTGTTTGTAGCATTTTTATCATACAGTAGATTCCATCCATTCACTCTACTTTTCTAACTGAGTTGTCCTACATGCAAGTACATGTTTTTAATGTTGTCTGTCTTCTGTGCTGTTCCTGTAAGTTTGCTATTAAAATACATTAAATGATGCCTGCTTTTAGTCTTGATTTTTAAATATTACGTGTGGGTTTTATTTGATTTTAAAAAAAAAAAAAAAAATCAGCCTTCCCTTACCTTTTTCTCTTCAATATGTGGCCTTAAATATACTTAGAGCAGATCTAGGAAACACTGTGGGGATACTACCTTGGCTGAAGTAGTGTGTGTATGTGACGACTTGTTTTTTGAGTTTAAAATTTCTGCCCGCTGCATGTGAAAGCAAGTTTGTTACTGGGTAGAGGCTGGGGCTGGCGTAGCTCTCCAAGCTACAGGGCTAAGAAAAAGCGGTTTTGTTGCTGTGTACATTTCTTTCTTGCTTGACTTAATGCTGAACTTGGAAGCATTTTTTGATTTTCATGGCTTGTTACTGTGGTTAAGTGGTAGGGTGGTTTTATTTCTTTGTGTGTGTGTGTTTTGGGGTTTGGGGTTTTTTTGCCCCTTTACGTTTTTTAAACCCGTTTGCACTCCGTTATCTGGTTTCTTGGTTTGTAGGTGTGTTCACTTTTTGCTTGACTACCTCTCTGTTTCAGTCACACCCTCTGGCACCTTGGAGAGCTTTGTCCATGTGTGATTAGTTTTCAGTTTTTACACTCCAGTCAAAAAGACACTTTTGTACCATTTTTGTTAGTTACAATACTTCTTTCCAAGTACTGCTTCTATGGAGCACACATTTAAAACTTACTGTTTTGGGTTTTTTTTTTTAATATTCCTTCCCCCACCACCCAATTGCTGATGAAATTTACAGCTGAAATTATGTTCTATAAAACTGGGGTTTAATTTCTCACCTGAAACTTGGTTAAGGATTCTGATGGACCAGGCTGGAAACGGGTTTTGTGGTGTGCTTTTTTGGGAGCTCTTGCAAATAATGAAGTGAGTTACAGAGAAGGGAGTACGTAGGCAGTGAACAGATTTCACCTCCATGCTAAGACCCCTACAGAGCTTATTTGCCGCTAACCTCTCTCAAGAGGCTCTGAGTGAGCTCTAAACACACGAGTGAATTTGTCTGAAGATTTCCTAAGAGGATTAATAGAGACGTATTATCTGCTTTGGTATCTTGAACCGAGAGCCAAAAATTACAGAATAAATCACATTATTCATAACTTGCTCGGCTCTAGTAACGAATGCTGTCTGCCAGGGTTGTGCAGAGTAAAGTCTGTTTAAAGGGAGTAACCTGTCACAGAGAGAACTAATGCTAGACAAAATGTGATCACATCCTTTTAATGCCAAACCGTTCATTAGCCATCAACTAAAAATTAAGCAAGACTTGTCTTGGAGCATCCAGCACAACAGAAACATAAAAGGTGAGCGACTGAGACTTAACTGATTTAAGGTGTCACCTCTGTCTACTTGATAAAACCAGCCTGTTAAGCTGGCTATAAATGCATTTCAGTGTAATTAACTACCTGTTTCGTCCCATACTTCAGAATTCTGTTTCGCGCGTCTGCCAACTATGCTGCAAGCACCTACACAAAGAGGTAATTAGGCTGATTTTTTTTTTTTAATAACCTGGAGTTGAAGTATTGATAAAGAACTTAATTTTCTTAGGTATATAGAAAACCAAATCTAGAGATTTTGGTACTCAAATGAAGTAGCGAGCTCTTTCTGTTAAAAGAGAGAATTGGGGTGAGGAGTAACTGGCAGTGCAGTTAAACTGCTCAAGGCAGAAGTATTCCTAATGGAAGATGGGGGGCATCAGGAATCTATGCAGTTGACAACATTTAAGTGTGTGGTGCTACACCTGCAGCTTAGGGATAAACTGCCTCTTTGAGAGCGTTGGTTACGATGGTTGTGGTCCTAGCGATGCCATGTGAATCCTGCTAGTGATCAACTGTCTGTGTTGGTAGCAAGTGTTGCCTTGCTTTTGTTCCTGAGGGATCTGAGGGTACCACTTCTGCTCATCTCTTCTTTTTTTTTTTTCCCCAAGTATTACTGTTTCAAGTTATTTTCATTCTTCAGCTTTTTCCGCTGTTTTGCTGAACAAATTACTCAATCTCTAGCTTTCTCACCCCCTACGTACCCCATCTTTTTGCCTTTATTGTACAGCAGCATGAAAGTAAGAACAATTAACTCATCAGCTTTCATTAAGAACTGCTTTTTAAAAAACTGCCAGAATGGTCAGGTGACAGTTCAGTTTTGGATGGACGGGTCTTCTAGTTGATGCTGTTTAATGGAGGAGGGGTGTACAAAAGGTGATGTTGCCTTTTTTTTTTTTTTTTTGTATGCTGAGAGTTTAGTTATTTGGGGTTATATTTTTCCCCAGCAGATTTTGGAGGCTAACTGTCTTGGTGCTGGTGGCATAACTCACCCAGAGTTGACAGTTCGCGGGCACCTGCGTGTTTCTCAAACAGGCTCTGCCATACAGAAGGAGCAAAACAAAAAGGGGGGCATTGGTGTTAATACAGAAGCTGCAGAGGAGGAGGAAGAACAAGACCATCTACAGTTCCTGTTTAATCAACTTTTTTCTTTGTGTATGAGCATTCCTACAAAAAATGTTTTTGGGAAGTGGTGGAGGGATAGGAGGACCACGTAGCACTGGAGATGGGCAGTTAGGGCACGCATGGATTGGTGGAGAAGGTAGGATACTGCATGTTCTTTAGAGCTAAGTTTTAAGCTGCTGGTGTGATGCTGACGCTCCCTTCCTTCCGTCACTTCAGGATTACACGCTCATTTCTGACGAAACTGTTGACAAATATTAATAGATTTATGAGAACTTAGGGGTTTTGGGTTTGGGTTGTGTGGGGTTTTTTGGTGTCTTTTTTTTTGAGAAGCACACTTTTTCTCAACCAGTTTTATAAGCACTGTTTGAAGTCTTTAACAAGATTCTTAGTATCTACAGTTGCCATATGCTGAAGAAATTTTAATGTTTAAAAATGTAAATTCCTATTAACTTGTGGCGTTTGGGAGTTGTGGGGAAAGGGAGTACCATCAAACTTGAATGTGGGCTAATTTAACAGTCGCAGAAAAAGAAATCTGCTTCAGAAGTCACACATGCTGCATTCTCTGCAAAAAAAGAAATTACAGTTTACATGTGAGAGACATAATACTGATTTAAAGCATTCTGCTGTAAAAGAAGTAGTTTCAGGTTCCTCTTTCACATCTGGGGGGGGGGAAATTAGGCTGAACTTGGTTGCTGTAAAAGAAGTAGTTTCGGGTTCCTCTTTCACATCTGGGCGGTGGGGGGGAAATTAGGCTGAACTTGGTTCCTAAAATAGTTTACCTTTTTTTCCCCCCATAGAAATCCTGTTATTTCCTTGGAAATTCAGTTGCAGGTGAGATGTTGAATACAAGAAACAAGTTGGACATCCTCCCAGGGAGGAGTGTAACTGTGTGGAGTGGAGAAAAGGATGTGACGTGGCTCCTTACCTCTTAGTGACAAACATATCCAAAGGTTGAATGTCTTGTTTAAGGCGTATCCTTGCATCTATGTCCACATCTCACTCTGAGTTACGCTGTGAAGTCCTTTATAACGTGTATGAGATAAGCTTTGTTTTAGGTCTTGGCTTTAGATTTGTATGTTAGCAGTTGCATTTACTTGCTATTTTCTCAAGGGTAAATACAAAACCTTATTTATTTCTTAATTTGGTTGCTTTGTATTAGCAACACCAAACGAGCTTGCCTACCAGAGCCAAAAATTAATGTACGGGGGGACTTTTTACAAGGGCCTGTAGTGACAGGACAAGGGGAAACGGGTTTAAATTGAAAGTGGGGAGGTTTAGATTAGATATCAGGAAGAAGTTCTTCCCAGAGAGAGTGGTGAGGCACTGGAACAGTTTGCCCAGAGAAGTTGTGGATGCCCCATCCCTGGAAGTGTTCAAGGCCAGGCTGGATGAGGCTTTGAGCAACCTGGTCTAGTGGAAGGTATCCCTGTCTATGGCAGGGGGTTGGAACTGGATGGTCTGTAAGGTCCCTTCCAACCCAAACCCTTCTGTGATTCTGTGATGGCTTCAGACACAAGATTAGTCTCTCTCGTGTGACTATCAAATTCAACCGGTAGTTCTTGAGAGCTTGATTAACATGGAGCTCAAACGCAGAATTTCATATTTGGTTAGAAAAGTAGCTGGCTGAATATAAAATGACTAATGTTAGTGTACCTGTGTTTAGGGGATGTGTTGCTGGGCTGGGGTCATCCAGCCCGTTATCCCATTTGGCAGTAGCTATTGGGTGAGGCCACTCTCCAGTGACGAGATTCATTAACGCCTGCTCTACGACAGGTTGTAGCACCTATGTGACATTATTAATACTGTCTTGTTCAGGAAGGCAAGTGCGTGCACCTATTTCTGTTACAGTAACTGCTCCCTAACAGTCTCATACACAGGTGAATTTTTGGGATGCACTTTTTCTGGGCTGGTGGTAGGTTGCAATTTGGGATTACTGTCCCAGGATGTGCATTCCTACACAGGGTTTTGTGACCACCTAGTAATTTGAATCAACTTTTTTGATGTGACTGAAACCAGCGCGCGTCTCGCACGTACTTCTGTGCTGCTGTTTTTAGTCAATGAGCCAAATAATTTGACTCGGCATACCCGCTTGATCTGAAGCGATAGAGCAGGCGGGGGAGTAGGACTATCCATTTCCCTGGCAGTATACAGCTAAGCGTATTGTGAAACTGAACCTAAATCCAAGCTTACGCCTGGGCTACCATTCTAATACCAGCTTTTCCTGCCATGCTTCCCTCTCTTGAGATTCCATGGTGGATTATTTCAGTTTGTCTTCTGGAGTTTAATTTTAAACTCAGGGTTTAATGAAGTACAGGCAGAGTTCAGAGCAATGACATTGATTGTACTTTTGTTTCTTACTACAGCGAGCAAACACATGCAAATTTTCTTGGTCATCGCAATGAGTAAGGAATTAAACCCGCTTTTCATATAACTTAGTTTCAAAGGCTTGAGTTCAGAGGAGGAATTCTAGTGTTGGAAGTTTTTCCTTGGTCCAGATCACCCTGGTGATTTGTGGGGCTGTTTGCTCAGCTTTTACTTGTGTTTCCCATCACCAT